GCTGGAAGCTCAACATCTACAAGCGGGAAGCTCTACGTCTACAAGGTGGAAGCTCAACATCTACAAGCTGGAAGCTCAACATCTACAAGCCAGAAGCTCAACATCTACAAGCGGGAAGCTCAACATCTACAAGCGGGAAGCTCAACATCTCTACAAGCTGGAAGCTCAACATCTACAAGCTGGAAGCTCAACATCTACAAGCTGGAAGCTCGACATCTACAAGCGGGAAGCTCAACATCTACAAGTGGGAAGCTCAACGTCTCAAGCAGGAAGCTCAACATCTACAAGCTGGAAGCTCAACATCTACAAGCTGGAAGCTCAACATCTACAAGCGGGAAGCTCAACATCTACAAGCTGGAAGCTCAACATCTACAATCTGGAAGATCAACATCTACAAGCGGGAAGCTCAACATCTACAAGCTGAAGCTCAACATCTACAAGCTGGAAGCTCAACATCTACAATCTGGAAGCTCAACATCTACAAGCTGGAAGCTCAACGTCTACAAGCGGGAAGCTCAACATCTACAAGCGGGAAGCTCAACATCTACAAGCTGGAAGCTCAACATCTACAAGCAGGAAGCTCAACATCTACAAGCGGGAAGCTCGACACCTACAAGCTGTAAGTTCAACATCTACAAGCGGGAAGCTCAACACCTACAAGCGGGAAGCTCTACGTCTACAAGCGGGAAGCTCAACGTCTACAAGCGGGAAGCTCAACATCTACAAGCTGGAAGCTCAACATCTACAAGCGGGAAGCTCAACATCTACAAGCAGGAAGCTCAACATCTACAAGCGGGAAGCTCAACACCTACAAGCGGGAAGCTCTACGTCTACAAGCAGGAAGCTCAACGTCTACAAGCTGGAAGCTCAACATCTACAAGCTGGAAGCTCTACGTCTACAAGCTGGAAGCTCAACATCTACAAGCGAGAAGCTCAACATCTACAAGCGGGAAGCTCAACATCTACAAGCTGGAAGCTCAACATCTACAAGCAGGAAGCTCAACATCTTCAAGCTGTAAGTTCAACACCTACAAGCTGGAAGCTCAACACCTATAAGCTGGAAGCTCAACATCTACAAGCTGGAAGCTCAACATCTACAAGCTGGAAGCTCAACATCTACAAGCTGGAAGCTCAACATCTACAAGCTGGAAGCTCAACATCTACAAGCGGGAAGCTCAACATCTACAAGCTGGAAGCTCAACATCTACAAGCTGGAAGCTCAACATCTACAAGCTGGAAGCTCAACATCTACAAGCGGGAAGCTCAACATCTACAAGCTGGAAGCTCAACATCTACAAGCTGGAAGCTCGACATCTACAAGCTGGAAACTCAACATCTGCAAGCGGGAAGCTCAACATCTACAAGCGGGAAGCTCAACGTCTACAAGCTGGAAGCTCAACATCTACAAGCTGGAAGCTCAACATCTACAAGCTGGAAGCTCAACATCTACAAGCTGGAAGCTCAACATCTACAAGCGGGAAGCTCAACATCTACAAGCTGGAAGCTCAACATCTACAAGCTGGAAGCTCAACATCTACAAGCTGGAAGCTCGACATCTACAAGCTGGAAACTCAACATCTGCAAGCGGGAAGCTCAACATCTACAAGCGGGAAGCTCAACGTCTACAAGCTGGAAGCTCAACATCTACAAGCTGGAAGCTCAACATCTACAAGCTGGAAGCTCAACATCTACAAGCTGGAAGCTCAACATCTACAAGCTGGAAGCTCAACATTTACAAGCGGGAAGCTCAACATCTACAAGCGGGAAGCTCAACATCTACAAGCTGGAAGCTCAACATCTACAAGCTGGAAGCTCAACATCTACAAGCTGGAAGCTCAACATCTACAAGCTGGAAGCTCAACATCTACAAGCGGGAAGCTCAACATCTACAAGCGGGAAGCTCAACGTCTCAAGCTGAAGCTCTCCGTCTTACGAGGCAACCGCGTGGTCGGAGACCCGAGTGAGGGATCGACCCTTCGTAGTAGTAACTCGCTGTAGTCTAGTAAAGGGGCAGTTACCCCTTTGTGTTACGGTGTTACAAATAAATGTGGTGCCTCTAAGAGGAACAACGTCTGCGACTCAGTTGGGCCCACTACAATGAGAATACAACTTTATTCGTAAAAATAATATATGAATAGACCTGTTCACCGTTCCAAATATGAAACTTTATTTCACACAAGTCAATTATTAAACAACAATTACCAACATGCTTAAATATAAATATCATTGACATGGCGAGGCATATTTAGGGATGGCATCGTAGTGTGTATTTTTATTCTTATGTAGACTCAAAGTGTAAAGGAAATAAAGTCAAATAAACATATCTATAATTATTCTAATCAGCTTTCATAGACAAGCTGTGTTGAATACCGTAGCTAAGTTAGTGCTATTGGAACAGCTTTTCACCCCGTCTGAACTGATAAAGCCACCGCACTACTTGTTGGATGGTACATACGAAGATAATAATACCTCTTGGGGTTTTTTTTGTTTATTCGATGTCTAGAACTGACAGAAGATCTTAGACACAGCATTAAGTTACAGACATTTCACGATACTTTGGCTGTGTCCTCAACAGTCAGCATCCTTTCCTATGCATTTGCGCCGATACAAAACCGCAAGTTTAAAAGCACACAAAAATGCGTCAAATGCACATAGCCATGTGTGCATTTGACGATATTGAAATTGCTGATGGGGTTTGTTGTTGTTGTTGCATGTGCACAATGGCTGTGTGCTGTTTGCACATTTTTTGTGTGCCTTGCTTGAAACTGATGTCACACACTCTGAATGTTACCGTTTAAAGTGACACACGCCTTGCACTTAATTAGTGTTTGAAACACGACCAGCCCCGGGGGGTTGGCAAACCAAAATAATTAAGAAGAGCCATTTTTGTTGTCGGATTCGGTAAACAAAAAAAAAACCCTAAATATTTCAAGAGCAGCAATGCACTGTGGTGATTACGAGACGGTAGTTAATAAAATAACGTCCCGAAAGAGTCCTTAAAGAGCCGCGTGCGGCTCCGGAACCCTGAACACAACGATCACAAGATGCGAGACAGCGCCAGTAGGAGAGCACAAGCGAGAAGTGCCGTGGCCGGCATGGGGCCCTGCTGGAAGGAATTCAATGGGGGGGGGGGGGTCTTGTTCAATTTCCCGCTCTATTCGTAGTCCGGTGCGTGGGGCCTCCCTCCGGCCAGTGGGCCTCTTGGTGCAGTTGCACCACCTGCACACCACGACAGTCATGCCACTGCGAGTCGTGTAGAGCGGGGAACAGAACGCTGAATGGCGGACTCGTTAGCAACGGGCTCCTTGTGTGGCAGGTGGAGATATCCAAAATGAACTTTTGGTGTGACTCTTTTAACCTCAAGCTTGGTTTAAGCACAAGCATGTGTGGTTAATGCAAACGTGATGCCTTGCAATAGGCTGTGTCTCGTTGGTGTTTGAACATCTCAACACCTCCAGTATTATTGCCAGAAAAAAGTTAAAGGCTATTCTTTTTTCATCGATAGGTGTTTGTTGTATATAAGGGTAATGGCATCAGGGAATGTTACCGTTGTGTGGGTTAATTGGGATGGATAACATACCATATAGTTTCATTATGAAATGACATCTCATTCTCTGGAGTTTTTAAACGAAATGCCGCACACATGATTGTACGACCGTCGAAAAAAAAGTTAGTCATTTTTATCAATGTCATTTTATCAAATAACGTCGGTACACAGTACTTGCCCGGGTCAAGGGTCGGGTTAGTCAATACTGTAGTAAATCCGAAATTATACTTTCAAAACGTTAACATCTCCACCGTATTATAAGTGACTAAGTTTCAGTTTAGCTGCTGTAAACATGGACATTTAAAAACAATTTCTCAGCCTCATATCAGTATCCCTTAGGTCGGTACCTCATTGCACAAAGGTAAAGACCCCCCCCACGTGGCCTTTTTAGGCTGGGCAAGTGCTGCACGAGAACCGCCACCATGCCCAAGCTGCCTTTTGTCTCACCAAGTGCCAATGTTTTACACCAGGTACCTACTTAAGGCTGAATCGACTGAGCGGTGGGGGGGAGGCTCAAGAATCGGTTTCGATGTGAGCCTTCACTCGCCGGCGATTTTAGCCGTGGCCAACAAATGAACCCCGCGGTCGTGCGCTCTCATTACGCCGCGCAGCGCCAACCACCGTGCCACCCCTCCCCATCGGCGTGGCCAAAGCAACGCACGCACACACCCACGGCCACGAGCGTCGGTGCAACAATGCTAGCGTCAGGAGACAGCATCCAGCGTCACTTTGGCTTTTGGAGCGGGGGGGACAACGCGAAATTGTGCACGCACGGTCCCGCTGCCATTACAAAACGCATCGTCGTGCCCGTTTGACCACTTTTCGCCACGCTTGTTCAGTGCGGGTTGGTGAAGGTGAGCCCGGCGTACAAGTACAGCACAACGATGCGTTGTTTTTTTTTTTTGCGCTCCACTAACCCTCCGCCGCCCGCCACCAATGCATCGTCGTCGCAAAACCCATGGCACGCGTGCACTGTGCAGCCCCCCCCCCACCCCCACCCCACCAAAACACCCAAGCTCGAGCTCGCGAGATCCGCCGAGGTCGCGCGGTGCTGTCTCGTAGGCCAGCGTCACAGTGCTTCCGATGACGCCGACCCACCCGCGCGTCGATGAGCACGCGCGGTACGGCACCGCCGGCGGCAAACGGGAGAGCTGTACGCCCACGCCCCCCTCGGCCTCGACAAAGCGCTCGCGTGCATCGGTCGACGACGAAGCTTGGCGACGCCTCCCCTTTGCTATCTATGTTAACTCCCTCGCCTGGCGTTCAGGAGGTCGTGGGTTCGATCCCGACCCCTGATGCCTGCTGATGTATGTTTGGAGTTTGCGCGCCTCTCTCTCTCTCTCTCTCCCCGTGGTCGCGTGGTCCTCCGGTTTTTCGCTCCACATTTAGAATCGACGTGCGTTCAAGAGTATTTGATCATAAGCCACTTCGGTGAGCTATGATTTGTGATGGCCAGGTCGCTTCTAAAAAATTAGCTATATAGCTCAGTTGGGCCTTACCTGGTAAAATAAAAAAAAAATGTTCAATAGTTCACATGCAGAAAGCAGTCTCTTTCCTCCCCCCCCCCTCCCCGTCCTCCCCATGTTCTTCCTTTGCTTCCTCGATCACGACCAAGGCGGTAACGGCAAACGAGAAGCGCCCGAGAGAAGGCGAGTTTCACAGCCGCACCTCGTTCCCGATCACCCGGTAGCGGATGAGGAAGTATGGGTAGCACTGGTCGCTGTCGAATATGGCGAAGATACTCGGCTTGCCCGCGTTGTCCACGCACGAGTCGTACAGGTCGCTGGCCAGGTCGTCGGGACAAAGCGCCGGCGGCCTGCGCAGGCCCGTCCGCCCGACGGCGTGCCGCCCGGCCAGCACCTTGGCGATGAAGACGCAGCGGTCCCCGGCGTGGCCCGCGCGCCCCGCGTAGCCGTGCGAGAAGCTGGCGGCCGTGGCGAAGTAGCTGCCGTTGCCGTAGACGGCGGCGTTCTTGCCCGAGAGGCGCGGGTCGAAGTTGTGCTTGCAGATGGCGGGCACCGTGTCGGCCCTCGTGCCGTGGAACAGGTTGAGCTCGAGCTCGCGCTCGGGCATCTGCGGCAGCTTGCGCAGCATGAACGCCTTCTTCCTGCGGGGCGGAGGGAGCGGCACGGGGTGAGGCGGCGCACGGGGCGCGTTGAGACGGGTGGACGAGTTTCGTGGAGGTTACCGATGGATCGCAGGGCAGTTGCCAAGGGAGGTGCTAGGGCAGTGCTGCAGTGGCAGGCCCTGCTTCACCGTAGTGGCGACAGAACACGGCGTCGATGACGGCCCGGGTGCTGCTGCGGGGTTAACTTTCTGCTCCGCCTCCTCCCTCCCCCCCTACTGCCCGAGGCCTACTATATAACCTCGTGCCACGGCAGACCTCTCGCCTACTTCAGCAGTTTTTTTTTCTTGCTGTGGTTGTCCCACCCGATGACGATTGCTTGTGTTGCGATCGAAACGTCGTGATCTAATATTTTTCTACCCACGTGACTTTTTACCGAAAGAACCAAAGAGTGTGGATTCCTGCAGTCACGAAAGCTTCAAATCAAGATTGATGAACGTGTTGACGGGTTACAATTCTACGTTCCCAAAGCGCCGCTGCTGTCGACGCGAGCGTTATCCCGGACGAACCCGATACCGTCGCGCGTGTCACCTGCAGTACTTCTCCCACAGGAAGGGGTTCTGCACTCGCTCGATGCCCAGCACGAGCGCCTTGGTCTCCGACACGGTCTGGTGGAAGAGGCGGTACGCGGCCCGGTACGCCCGCTCGGCCGGCTCCAGGGTCACGCGCACGAAGTCCACGCCGGGATCCATGGGCACCCAGGTCGAGGGCTGCGAGCATCCGGCAGCGTCCGGCCAGCCGGGATGCGGCGGTGCGGCGCCAGTGGAGGGGCTAAGGAGGCGACAACGCGTGGGGTGCCACCGCTCGTCGTTAGCGGGAGGGTCTCGTTCTTTAAAAGATTAAACTATTTCGTATTAAATAACTGTTCAACTATTTGCCAGGTAAGGCCCACTGAGCTATATATACATATAGCTCTTTTTTGCAGAAGCGACCTGGCCATCACAAACGATGGCTCGACTCAGTGGCTCATCGTGGCGCGGAAATTTACAGCAGCCAAATGCTCTGGATGCGTGATGTTGATCCTAAATGTGGAGGGGGGAAACCGGAGGACCCTGGAGAAAAATCCACGAGACCACAGGGGAGAGAGAAATGCAAGCTCCAAATATACAGCAGGCATCAGGGTCGGGATCGAACCTACGACCTCCTGTAGACCAGGCCAGGTAGTTAACATCTCGCCACCGTATCGTTTGTTTGCGGCGATATGGCCGCTCAGACAATAACAACAACAATCGAAAGAACGGTGATAGTTCAGTGCGTTTGGTATTGGCGCGAACAATTCTCACAGCCCATGCCGGGCTGTCGGCACGAGGGAAGAAGGCGAGCGCTGCTGCTGCTCCCGATCTTTCTCCGGACACACAGCGCGCGGATGGTTTCACATCGCGGTAGCGGCGGGAGGGGGGGGCGACGTTGCTCCGCGTGATCCCAAATTGGAGTCGTTCGCGGTGGTGTAAAATTTGGACGTTCGAGAAGGTTACCGATCGAGCTTTGATTTAATTCAGATTGGTGCCGCTCGCAGGGCAGGTGTCAGGGCAGTGCTGCGGTGGTGGGCCCTGCATCGCCATAGTGGCGAGATGTTAACTACCTCGCCGGATATACAGGAGGCCGTGGACATTTGAGAATTTCGCGGAGGTTACCGATCGAGCTTTGGTTTGGAGCGTGACGTCGCAACGGCCTGCTCGTTTGAGAATTTGAACGACGTCAGGGCGGGGTATTTAATGCCCACTGTAAAGCAAGGCGGCACGTGTATTGTAACGGTCATCGCTCCCGCAGTGATAACCAGCGTGGCCTGCCAGAGTTGAACCGGGATACAATGGAGATACCATAAGAGATACAATATGCAGTTGAGATACAATAGAGATACAATAGCGTTAGTGTAGATACAATGAAGATACAATAGAGATACAGTAGAGATGCAATGGAGATACAGTGTAGATACAATGGAGTTACAATATAAATGCAATGGACATACAACTGAATGCTTCTTGTCTAAAGAACAATGTTCCACCTACCTTGTCTGCGCTGGCAACATCCACTGCTATAACTCACTCTGAGACTTTACTCTCGGGCCCATCGCTCGCATCGGAATGCAGAGAGAGTTTGTTGCGTACGCGATGATGTCTCAAGCGTCTTAACGAGGCTGCACAGCAGGACATTGTACAAATAGGGGAAACGACGCCTCGAAAGACAGTTTGAATAACTGAGGGTCAATCATTTGTTCACGTGTTTATACCATCTCATTTTGCAAGTATGTTTTTTTTTTATATACCGGTGCAGTTTACGTTCGCTCCATCAGCCTGGATCGTTGTGTGTGCTCCACTAGCCTGAACCGGAATATTTATTTATCCTGGAGAAATCCGATGAGCCGTGAAGCTCTTTTTCACAGATGCTTGGCGTACAATGGCGCGCAACGACTTGTCAATGCGCCCAACGCGTGTGATGTCTATCGCACGAAACACCAGCGAGTGTGAGAAATCAATTTCGGTCGACGGCTCCGATGCGTACGTTACAAACAATCCCTTTGAGGCAGCGGTCCTTCTTAACCTGGGGGTGCATCACGCACGCGCTGGGGGTGCGAGACGCACTTTCTGGCGGGGTGCGAGACATGGCCAGATGTTTTTTTGTTTGTTTTAGAAACGTAAAATCATCGAAACACAAATTTTGCACGGGCACGAAAGTATAACTACTTTGTTTGATCAAACCCTCTGTGTATTTATTAACGTCATATATAAACAAACCTGTATATTTATTAACGTTATATATAAACAAACCTGTGTATTTATTAACGTTATATAAACAAACCTGTGTATTTATCAACGTTATATAACAAACCTGTGTATTTATTAACGTTATATAAACAAACCTGTGTATTTATTAACGTTACATATAAACAAACCTGTGTATTTATATTATATATAAACAAAACATTACGAACGAGAACCAAAGGAATGCAAGGCTATAGTGAAGGTAAAAAAACAAGGCTGTAAAAGTTACACAAGGCGCACAGAGGCCGTGCTGCTGCTACGTCAGCCGCTATCGCGTGCCAGGCGTGCCAGCAGTCGGCAGCAGAACTTGCCAAGTCAGGCGGGCTGACTTTCGGAAAGCTCGAAGGGATTTCGGTTCATGACCCCAGCTTATCTCACGCCCCTGACAACATCAGCAGCAGCAGAAGCACCATATGTAGGGCTGAACGATTTGGAGGAAAATATCTAATTGCGATTTTTCTGACAGTTATCGCGATGCGATTTGCGATTTAAATGTTTTGAAGTCAAGCTTCAGTTCAATATTCACTGTGTAATAGATTTAAAGCATGTGATGGAGCATTACCACGTGATACCATCAAATATAAACTCCTCTATATATTATAATACAAGGATGAGAACTTAAAAGATATGAATTGCTTCCAACGTGTATTTATTAAAATATTTTAATTGAAATAGAACAATAAAACATAAAACAATTGTTAAGTTAAATAAATAAAGTTATAATAATAAAAAATAAAACAATTCCAGTAACAAAGTGAGAGGACTTTTGAAATCGCAAAAAAAAATCGCAGCCTTTGCGATTTGCTAATCGCATTGTGTCAAATTGCGATTTCGATTTGAAATCGATTAATCGTTCAGCCCTACACCGAAACACCTCCCTGCCCTGCGGCTTGCGGCCAGCACCCAGCCCTATGCGTCCCCTGCGACGCCCGGGCAATCATCAGCAGCCATGGTCAATCCACTGCTGGATGAAGGCTTCCCCAAGCTGCTGCCGACTCACGATACCGCGACGAAATAATCCAATCCACTGAGCGCCTGCGTACGAGCCGATTTCGCCGCTCCGTCTCCTGGGTGGACGTAAATTCTTGGACACGTTCCGGTCATAGGTTGCCACTCCCGTTACTATTTTTGAGCAGCGGACACCATCGCCCCTAACGGCGTACGCTCTTCGTATTTTTTGGGATCGGTATTTTCCATCGATGACCACGATGTTTCCTCCAGACATCGCCTAGTCGAACGGACACTTGCGGACAAGCGGGGGCTTGGGATAAAGGGGAGATATTAACCACCTGTGCAGGAGATCCCCAGGGTTGGTATCGAGCCCGGATCCTTGGTTCGAAACCCGACCCCGACGCCTGTACATTTTAAGTTTGCATCTTCTCCCCGTGCTCCCATGGATCTTTCTCCAGGTCGTCCAGTTTGTTTCCCCTCCACACGTGGCAACATGCGTTTCGAGTATTCGGCCGCCATAAATTTCCACATCAAAATGGCCAATCATTTTGTGGCCAGACCGCTTCCGAAAAACGAGCGATGCAGCTAAGCGGTGCCTTACCTGGTAAGATAATAATTGGAAAACATGCGTGCGAACTCACGCGTCGCAATGCTGCGTCACGGCCAGGGACGACACAAACTCCGGGCGCATCCTCATCAGGGGCCACTGGCCCAGGTTGAAGATTCCAGCTGCCACGGAACTGGTGACGATGCTGGTAGACGTCTACACAAAGAAAAACAGAACAATGCACCACCACCCCAAAAGAAAAAGCCACTGTGTTCGAAAAGAAATTTGCTTTTCTTCCTCCCTGTCTACTTGAACAAAAGAGAAGCGATTTGCAGATATCTCTTTTTCAGGAAGCTGCAGAAGCAGAAGTGAAATAGTTTGTCGGAGGGTAAAAACGAAACGATACAACTACCTGCATACGAACGGAACATATTTAATTCATGTTGTTACTCGCACGCACGCACGTGCACGCTTGCCCATTCGTACCGCGATCACAAGACATGGAACGGAACGTTGCACTCTGAACCCGGTGAATGCCCTCGTTAACCGCTCCCACCTGCCCTCCTAACCGTCACCACAACTACATCATCACTTTTAATAACCCCACTCTGTACTTTAACCACCATCATCTTAAGTAGAATTATATAATTATTGTAAAGCGCCTTTAGCGCTATGTAAATTTCTATGAGATAAGATCCCATCAGAGTTCGTTGCCCGGCCACGGCTAACCTCTACGGGCCAGTGAAACGTGAACCGCTCAGCCATTTCAATAACCCCGCACAGGCAAGCGGGGTGAAGTAAGGTCAAACAACCCCCGTGGCCAGCACGGTGCTGGTAGACCTTCATCCACGAGTGAATTGACAAAGTGCTGTAGATGTTAACGTGTATTTATACTGTTAATGGACCGTAGTGATGGGGTTTTTTCGGTCTGTATTTGCCGTGGCAAAGTGAGTAACATTGACACGGGCCCTGATTTCAGGGAATTAAATAAAGGACACTAAACATTCTTTTTTTATTTTACCAGGCAAGGCCCCCTGAGCTATATGGCTCTTTTTTTTTCCAGAAACGACCTGGTAAAAAATTATAGCTCAACGAACTGGCTTATCACGTGTATATTTATAGCAGTCAAATACTATAAACGCACGTTCATTTTAAATGTGGAGGGAAAAAAACTGTAAGACCCGGAGATAAACCCACGTGACCACGGGGAGATAGACACGCAAACTCCGAATATACAGCAGGCGTCAGCGTCGGGATCGAACCCACGACCTCCCGTATACCGGGCGAGGTAGTGAACATCTCGCAAACCCTGGCGCCTAACCTCGCTTGTCCAATTTTCATCCCCTTGTCTCCACAGCCCTGTGGCATTGGCCCCTCTGGCCTGTGGGCCCCAACGCCGCTGCACGGCCTGCACACTCGACAGCTAAGCCACTGCCCATGTGCTCCATGGAGTTTGATTTGACCCGTCCGCAGGCATCCAGGGTGCTTCAAAGACATGTTCACACTTACATGGGACTATCGTTTTTAAATGAAAAAAGAACGAATAGAATGTAACATGATAACAAATGCATGTTAATAGCTTTAACAAGTCAAAGAGTCTCCCACTTGTTCGCAAAATTCTCACAAGTGGGAACATTGTTTTGAAGCACCCTTATTTCCAGGGCTGCACACGTTGGGTGGATTATCTCCTGGCCTTAGGGCTTGCTGCTGCTGCTGCTGCTCTTATTGTTGTTGCTGAGCGGGAGCGTAGCGGTTAGTGCTCCGTACTACGAACCCGGCGACCCGAGTTCGATTCCCGCTCAGGGCCAACACCGGTGACGATTATCTGAACCGGTCATTGACCTCCCCGAGGTCGACTCAGCCTCCGAAAGAGTACCTGGTACGTTATGCAAAACATCGCCGCTGGGGAGACAAAGGCGGCCGGGCGCGGTGCTGGCCACCCACCCTATCGTGTGCCGTGCCGGCCTTCATAGGTGCTCGCTAACAGCACTTGTCCCTACAGTCTGTCAAGGCTATACGGGGGCTCTTTGTCTTTGCTGTTGGGTGTTGTTGCTGCTGCTGCTGCTGCCGTTACTGTGGCGTTGCCAGGTGTGGTGCTTGGGTGCCTCACCTCGTCGAGCCGGAGCCAGCGGTTCTGGTCCCTGCGGTAGAAACGGCAGGGGTAGGCCCTGATTCGCGAGCTCTCAAGGCGCCGGGCGAGCAATTTGTCGCCAGAAGGATTCCTCGCCTCCATGGTGGCGAAGTCCAGAGACAGAATCCCATTCCTGGAGCCAGACAAGCACACAGATTGCAAGATTTAGATTTTCATTTTTATTTACTTCCTACCTACCATCAACTTTTGCAGCCCCTTCCGGAACATCGACCGCATCAGAACATCAACGGCGGGCCGATGCGCGTAAAAGAAGTTCAACATAAATACATGAATGGAAAGTTAAAGACAAGTCACAGTCGTGCCATTGTGGCCATGCAACCAAATCTCTGGGCCATAGAGTAAACTCACTGTGGTCTGATATCCTTCAACAGAGGAGGAACAGCAAAGCTGCACGAATTATCTCTCTTCTCAAGCCCTCTCGTCATATGCTAGCAGAACCAGACATTGCCATTTATCTCCTGTTGATTGTATTTATCTGGTGCACTAACTGTGTGAAAGTCACGTGTAAAAGAATTTGCTAAATTAAAAAAAAAATGTCCTGAATATATTACCGCTCATAATAGAGGTGTTGTTGGGTTAAATCGCGTAAATATAAATGTGACGTTAAACCCGCCACCACTCGACACAGCCAACTAGTAAGGTTTGTTACGTAAACAGCACGTGCCAATTCGTTACTAGTTCAGCACACCGGTGTGTTGGAGAGCAAATCCACAATATTATCGCTGCTGCCATACGCAAGAATACAATTCTACTTAACATCAGTTGTGAATGACAGTCACCTACGGTAATAATGCAGTGATGCTTACACTACTCCAGACTCGTACCACGTGTAACCACGCTACTCAAGTCGGGAACCACCCGGGCAACCCAAGCAGAATCCTTCTGAAAAATAGCCTTAAGACTCAATGAGATTTTTGTAAGTAAAGACAATTGTATTATTACAATCATCATCGCAGTTTACGTCATGTAGCGTTCAAGTTGGTACTGAGCAGTTTCAAATGTCCCCTCTCTGTTCGGCATTTTGCCACAATTTGTTCATACACGTCCCACCTACGTTAAAATGTTTTACTATCCAACCGAGTGCAATGAAACGTAAAGTAAAAAAAACCACGAGCGTCCCAGTACAAACGCTGGGAACACGTGCGAGGTTACACGCGTTCAACATCATCGCAGCACATTTGTGTCCCCGGTAAGAGGCCTCACCGAGTCTCGTGACTCTCTCTAAGAGGGTTCCTGCCAAGGCATTGGTTTTGTGGGAGGGGGACAACGATTGTTATGCTTTTCCCAATAAATACAATTGCGAGTAGAGTAACTTTCTTTATGGATGAGGGCATCTATTGACGCGATCTGACCCCCCAAATCCCCCCCCCCCACCGGAATATGGATGATATTGGTCGCGAAAGCCTACGTGTTGAACTGGCATTATTGCTTTCAAATATATAGATACGTCCGGTCGTTTTGTCCCTCAAACGCCACTGGTATTCATGTCACTGTCCTGAGATTAAGAATTCATTTGGAAATCTCGCAGAGCAATGCGACACGCCCGCGATAGAAAACCGACCCGCGGACGCAGATATCACAGAATTACTTCCGATGTCCCTTCCGAGTAATCTCTTACGGTCATTTATACTTTAAGACAATGCCCTATTATTAGTATTATCAATGGGTGTTATTCTCATCGATAAACTTACAACACACACGCTGTTGTCAATGAGATCATAACGGCGCGAGAGACTCACAGAGTCTAGAGCAGGGCTCGGCAAACAACAAGAAGAGCAAATCTTGACTTAAAGCTTTCGTGACCGCAGGAATTCACATTGTTTGCCTCTTCCGGTAAATGTCACCACGTAGATAGGTTCAAATTTTAATCAAAATAAAATAAACAAAAACCACGACGTTTCGATCGCAACACAAGCGATCTGATGACGCTCGCTTGTGTTGCGATCGAAACGTCGTGTTTTATTTTATTTTGATTAATTTGAACCTATCTACGTCGTGACTTTACCGAAAGACCCAAACAACAAGGACAAGAGCAATTCCTTTGCGAATTCGGTAGTTAAAAAAACCAAACAACAACTGAATATTTCAAGAGTAGCAATGCGCGTAAATACGAGACGGTGAAATCCTTAATCACATAACACGAGACGGCGATCCTCAATAACGTCACGAAACATTGCCTTAAAGAGCCGCACGTCGCCCTGCTCGAGAGGCTGCAAATATAGCGCCTTGGGTCTCCCCTCCCCTCCCTCCCCCTGTCTCTCCCTGCGTGTCGCCGCCTCTGTAAGCTGCCGTCTCACCCGGCGTGCGCGACACTCACTCGGTGCGCAGCTGCGCGGAGTCGTTATCGGGGTTGCAGAATACTCGCTCGAGCACCTCCTGCGCGCGAGCCGGGACGCTCTCCCAAGCCGCGCCCGGCCGCCGCATCTGCCAGTGGTAGGGCAGCGATCCGATCTCCGCGAAACTCGACCACAAGTCCTCGACTGCGCCCGAGCCGTCGCCGCCACCGCCGCCGCTTCCAAACGAGGAGGCGCGTCCGGCGTCTGCGCTGCCACCGTCGTCATCGTCACTGCCGCCGTTAGCGCCGGCAAAAGGGCTGGCAACGAGACCACCACCACCAGCAGCAGCAGTAGCAGCAGCGAGAGCAGCAGCAGCAAGAGCAGCAGCAGCAGCCTCCAGCCCCTGCGCGTCGTGCGCGCGGGGTGGCGTCCTGTGACTCGGGTGGGTCATCTCGAAGTTGGGCGGATCACGGAGAGAATTCTCGGAAACGCTTTCTGAGAATCGCGCCAGGGCCGCCAATCGTCGCAGCCCCTGGGCGGTTCGCCTCGCGTTCGCCCTCGGGTGCGACGGCGGTGCCGCGGTTGGCGCTGCCGCGAAACGTCGGGCACGCGCGCTCGGTCTCCTCCTGGCTGCGTGCTCCGCGACGCGGGCTCCGAGCCCGAGCGTCTGCGAGGGCGGCGTCGTTGCTGCGTCGGCGCCGAGGCTCTGAGCTCGCATCATCCGTGCGGGGCAGAAACCGACCCGACGTTGGAATTCCTCGACAAAACGCCTCTCTAGGGCTCTGCGGCTTCCGATAGCTTTCGCGCCGATGACTCGAGCGTCACTCCGCAAATCCTGCGCGTTAATTGATTGATCTTTTAATGACGGTGCGCGGTGGACTAAAATGATTCAATTATACGCGTCAAATGTATTTTGAGCCTTCGAGCAGAAAGGTGTATTTGTCCGTTATTCACGCACCAGTAAAGTAGTGTGTGTGCGCACAAAATAAACACCGTGAGCTTGTAGAGTGCCGTACTACGTTAACAAGTTAAAATGTAAACCCTCGGTGTGTTGAACCACATTGTAGAACGCGCGAGGTCGGTGCCGAGTGGCGCTCTGTTTGCTCTGTGGCGTTCCAAGGAGGGGCCTGCCGCATTTTAAAGTCGCCGGGAACAGCTGGAGGGGACGATTGTTGCCACAACGGCAGCGGCAGCAGCATCATCAAAAGCGGCAAGTGGACTTCATCACACGGGCGTGATGATGCGAAACTGGTGGCGTGCGACAGTTCTGCGTGGAGGTGGCGGGGTGTGTTGGTGGGCGGGTCGGGGTTGCGGGCGCTAAGAGCCATTGGCTGCTTCGCCGCGGTTATTCATCAGGGGCAGAGCGGAGCGGAGCGAACGAGCGAAGAAGGCACCCCCCGCCCCTCCCAGCCCATCGAGACGACGCCGCTGAGCATTCAGTCCCACCCCGGCACTCGGCGACCGCCACCACGGCACTCACGACCGACGGAGCCATCCTCGCTGGTCGACGCGATCGTCGTCGATGACAATGATGACCGCACGATTTTCGTGCTGGGGTTTTCGTTTTCGTTTCGGTTGTTGGCCACGGCGGGTCGTTTAACCACGGGGTTGTTTGGCGATAGTTTGCTCTGCTGGTCAATGCGGAGTGCTTCAAACAAAAAAAGATGTGAACACTTGTGGGAAATTTGCAACTACGCCACGAGGAGTGTGCTGTCTCCGGGCTTCGGAGACCCCCCCTGGAGAATATTCCAGGCCACGTGTTGACAACGATGGCGAACAAGTTGGAGACTCTTTAACTTTTTGAAGCTATTCGCATACATTTTTTTCTTATGTCACAGTGTTTTATCCGTTCGCTTTCCATTAAAACCAACAGTCCCCGTGTAAGTGTTAACATTTTTTTAAGCACCCTATACTTAAGATTGTAAATGTTGTGGCTTGGCTCTCCAACACACCGGTGTGCTGTACTAGTGACGAATTGGCCACGTTCTGTTTACGTGACAACCCTTACTAGTTGGCTGTGTCTGGTGGTGGCGGGTTTTATATAGTTACGCGATTTAACCCAAAAGAAACCCGATATTATGGATGATATTGGTCGCGAAAGCCTGCTACGTATTCGACTGGTCAATGACGGTTGGTGGTGGTGGGGGGCGAAGAGGGTAAGATCTATTAACGATCTTCAGATGTAAAACTACAACAGTGTTTATACTTACCAGGTAAGGCCCACTGAGCTATATATATAAACTCTTTTTTAGAAGCGACCTGGCCACAAATGACGGCTCAACAAAGTGGCTTATCACGTCAAAATGTACAGCAGCCAAATGCTCTAAAGCGCACGTCGATTCTACATGTGGAGGGGAAAACCGGAAAAAAAAATCCACGGGGAGAGGGACGCGCAAACTCCCAAATATACAGCAGCAACAGGCGTCAGGGTCGGGGTCGAACCCACGACCTCCTGCACACCTGGCGAGGTAGTTAATATCTCCTAGCCACCGCGACGCCGTCACTCGCCGCTGATGCGAAAGCTGTGGCTCAGAGACGATGAGTGATACATCTAAGACACGAAGTTGCGTGTCTGCACGAGATGTATGCACAGTGATTCACACAACTGCCAGGGCTATTACGCAATGTGTCATTGAGTGGTTGTGACCTTCATTGTGGTGAGTGAGTGGGTGGGTGAGTGGTTGTGACCCGCATTGTGGTGAGTGAGTGAGTGGGTGTGTGAGTGGGTGAGTGAGTGGTTGTGACCTTCAGTGTGGTGAGTGAGTGGGTGAGTGAGTGGTTGAGTGAATGGTTGTGACCAGCAGTGTGGTGAGTGAGTGGGTGTGTGAGTGGGTGAGTGTGTGGTTGTGACCTTCAGTGTGGTGAGTGAGTGGGTGAGTGAGTGGTTGAGTGAATGGTTGTTACCCGCATTGTGGTGAGTGAGTGAGTGTGTGAGTGGGTGAGTGAGTGGTTGTGACCTTCAGTGTGGTGAGTGAGTGGTTGGGTGAGTGAATGGTTGTGACCCGCATTGTGGTGAGTGAGTGGGTGGGTGAGTGAATGGGTGAGTGAGAGGTTGTTACTTGCAGTGTGGTGAGTGGGCGAATAGCTGAGTGTGTGGTTGTGACCTGCAGTGTGGTGAGTGAGTGAATGGGTGAGTGAGTGGTTTTAACCTGCAGTGTGGTGAGTGAGTGGGTGAGTGTGTGAGTGGTTGTCGCTTGCAGTGTGGTGAGTGAGTGTGTGGGTGTGTGAGTGGTTGTAACCTGCACTGTGGTGAGTGAGCGAGTGGGTGAGTGTGTTGTTGTGACGTTATGTGTGGTGAGTGAGTGAGTGGCTGTGACCGGCATTGTGGTGAGTGAGTGGATGAGTGAGTGGTTGTTACCTGCAGTGTGGTGAGTGAGTGAGTGAGTGGGTGAGTGTGTGAGTGGGTGAGTGTGTGGTTGTGACCTTCAGTGTGGTGAGTGAGTGAGTGGGTGAGTGTGTGGTTGTAACCTGTAGTGTGGTGAGTGGGTGGGTGGGTGAGTGTTTGGTTGTGACCTGCAGTGTGGTGAGTGAGTGGGTGAGTGTGTGAGTGGTTGTGACTTGCAGTGTGGTGAGTGAGTGAGTGAGTGGTTGTGAACTGCAGTGTGGTGAGTGCGTGAGTGGGTGAGTGAGTGGTTGTGACCTGCAGTGTGGTGAGTGGATGGGTGAGTGAGTGGTTGTTACCTGCAGTGTGGTGAGTGGGTGGGTGAGTGATTGTGACCTGCAGTGTGGTGAGTGAGTGTGTGGTTGTGACCTGCAGTGTGGTGAGTGAGTGAGTGGGTGAGTCAGTGGCTGTGACCTGCAGTGTGGTGAGTGAGTGGGTGAGTGTGTGAGTGGTTGTGACCTTCAGTGTGGTGAGTGGATGGGTGAGTGAGTGGTTGTTACCTGCAGTGTGGTGAGTGAGTGGGTGAGTGAGTGGTTGTTACCTGCAGTGTGGTGAGTGAGTGAGTGAGTGGCTGTGAACTGCAGTGTGGTGAGTGCGTGAGTGGGTGAGTGAGTGGTTGTGACCTGCAGTGTGGTGAGTGGATGGGTGAGTGAGTGGTTGTTACCTGCAGTGTGGTGAGTGGGTGGGTGAGTGATTGTGACCTGCAGTGTGGTGAGTGAGTGTGTGGTTGTGACCTGCAGTGTGGTGAGTGAGTGAGTGGGTGAGTCAGTGGCTGTGACCTGCAGTGTGGTGAGTGAGTGGGTGAGTGTGTGAGTGGTTGTGACCTTCAGTGTGGTGAGTGGATGGGTGAGTGAGTGGTTGTTACCTGCAGTGTGGTGAGTGAGTGGGTGAGTGAGTGGTTGTTACCTGCAGTGTGGTGAGTGAGTGGGTGAGTGAGTGATTGTGACCTGCAGTGTGGTGAGTGAGTGAGTGGGCGAGTCAGTGGCTGTGACCTGCAGTGTGCCGGGAAAGCTCCTGGCAAGGATTATTCAACATCGCCTTGCCAGGCACGCTGAGGAGAGGCTTGCGGAGCCACAATGCAGTTTCAGGAAAGGGCGGTCCTGCACAGATGCCATATTTTCTGTCCGTCTGCTACAGCAGAGGTGTCGGGAATTCCAACAAGACCTACATCTCTGCTTTATTGACCTGGTCAAGGCCTATGATACCATCAGTAGGCCTGGGCTCTAGGTTGTTCTTCGTGCTTTTGGAGTCCCTGACCCTCTGCTCACAATCATTAAGGATCTTCATGATGGTGAGCAGGCCCGGGTAAAACTACGTGGCCGGGAGTCAGAGCCATTCCCTGTACACCTTGGTGTGCGACAGGGATGTCATCTGGCTCCCACATTATTTAACATCTATTTTGACCACGCAGTTCGTGAAGCCTTCAATAGCTGTACCGGGGGAATCTCCATCTGGTACAGATATAATGGGAGGCTGATCGATGCCCGGGTGCGGTCAAGGGATGGCTCCCTATTGCTCAACCACGTTATGTATATTCATATTCTTAGCTCTTTCGGTAAAGTCACGTTGAAGGGAAACAATAAAATAATAAAACATATATAAAACAAAAAATTCTCACGACGTTTCGACAATAACACATAACACAAACGGTCGTCACCTGATGACGACCGTTTGTGTTATGGTCGAACCGTCGTGATAATTTTTTATTGTTTTATATATATTTTATTGTTTCCCTTCAACGTGACTTTACCGAAAGAGCTAAGAATATGAATTACTGCAGTCACGAAAGCTTTAAATCAACATTTTTTCACGTTATGTATGCCGATGATTTGGTAATAGCTACTCATTCAGAGGAGGAGTTGGAGACGCTGCTGCTGAGACTGGAGCGTGCCACTAAGAGATGGGGCCTTACCATCAGACCCACCAAAACTAAGCACCTGCCTGGGTATGTTGTACCATCGGACACTCCACCCCCACAACTCCCAATCGGTGATGGGGCAGTTGTGGAGAGAGTGGAGAGTTTCCCATACCTGGGCAGTGTGCTTATGACCGGCTCCAGTTTAACAGCAGAGGTCTCACTCCGAATCAGTCGAGCGGCAATATATTTTCATCGGTTGCGTAACGCTGTGTGGAAGCTATCTGGTCTGTCGCTCCGCACTAAGCTTCAGGTCTTCTCGGCCACGGTCATTCCCTCCCTACTCTACGCTTGCGAAACGTGGACCCCCCTAATGGAACATCTTCGCCGGTTAGAAATATTTAGGCTAGCCTGCCTACGATCCATCCTGGGTTTAACCAGGCTGGATTGTGTGAGGAGCTCACAAATCTTTGAAAGATCTGGGCAAGGTCCCATCGGTGAGTTCCTCCGGCAGGCGAGGCTGCGTTGGCTGGGTCATGTAGCCCGCATGCCCAGCCACCGCATGCCGACACAGCTTTTGTACGGCCGGATCGAGGGGGCTAAACGGGCGCGGCACGGGCTAGAGAAAAAGATGGAGTGATGTGGTACAGGAGGACGTGGAGCTGAGTGGACTTGCCGATGACTGGTACCAGCGGCGTCAAGATCGGCTTTTGTCGAGGAGGCTCGTGAAGGACGCTACTGAGCAGTTGGAGGCAGTCGCCTCCAACAACAACGGAGGGCGGAGCGACGCTCACAACAACGAGCGGAGCGCCGGGTGGCTAAAGCACAGCAGGTTGGCATAGTAGGGGGCACAGGTGGTGCATCAGCCAGTCATCTTAGTCAGTCGACCCGTGGCACCTGGGTCTGCCCCGTGACCTCCTGTTAGCGGGCATTCGACACTTCACGTGGCCTCAAGGTGCACATGGCCTTGCACAAGCGTCGTGGTGACATCACCGCCACTTAGTGGCGAAT